TCTTTGTGGATTGTGTGGTGACACATTGTAGTCTGGTGGGACATCAGTGACAACTACTGGAACTGCGGCTGGTTGTAATGTTGATGATGGTTGTAGGTGTTGTGTTGTTGATGTTGTAATGAGTGGTGTTCGAGTGGTGGTGGTCGATGTGGATTGTGTGGTGGACACATTGTAGTCTGGTGGGACATCAGTGACAACTACTGGAACTGCGGCTGGTTGTAATGTTGATGATGGTTGTAGGTGTTGTGTTGTTGATGTTGTAATGAGTGGTGTTCGAGTGGTGGTGGTCGATGTGGATTGTGTGGTGGACACATTGTAGTCTGGTGGGACATCAGTGACAACTACTGGAACTGCGGCTGGTTGTAATGTTGATGATGGTTGTAGGTGTTGTGTTGTTGATGTTGTAATGAGTGGTGTTCGAGTGGTGGTGGTCGATGTGGATTGTGTGGTGGACACATTGTAGTCTGGTGGGACATCAGTGACAACTACTGGAACTGCGGCTGGTTGTAATGTTGATGATGGTTGTAGGTGTTGTGTTGTTGATGTTGTAATGAGTGGTGTTCGAGTGGTGGTGGTCGATGTGGATTGTGTGGTGGACACATTGTAGTCTGGTGGGACATCAGTGACAACTACTGGAACTGCGGCTGGTTGTAATGTTGATGATGGTTGTAGGTGTTGTGTTGTTGATGTTGTAATGAGTGGTGTTCGAGTGGTGGTGGTCGATGTGGATTGTGTGGTGGACACATTGTAGTCTGGTGGGACATCAGTGACAACTACTGGAACTGCGGCTGGTTGTAATGTTGATGATGGTTGTAGGTGTTGTGTTGTTGATGTTGTAATGAGTGGTGTTCGAGTGGTGGTGGTCGATGTGGATTGTGTGGTGGACACATTGTAGTCTGGTGGGACATCAGTGACAACTACTGGAACTGCGGCTGGTTGTAATGTTGATGATGGTTGTAGGTGTTGTGTTGTTGATGTTGTAATGAGTGGTGTTCGAGTGGTGGTGGTCGATGTGGATTGTGTGGTGGACACATTGTAGTCTGGTGGGACATCAGTGACAACTACTGGAACTGCGGCTGGTTGTAATGTTGATGATGGTTGTAGGTGTTGTGTTGTTGATGTTGTAATGAGTGGTGTTCGAGTGGTGGTGGTCGATGTGGATTGTGTGGTGGACACATTGTAGTCTGGTGGGACATCAGTGACAACTACTGGAACTGCGGCTGGTTGTAATGTTGATGATGGTTGTAGGTGTTGTGTTGTTGATGTTGTAATGAGTGGTGTTCGAGTGGTGGGGGTCGATGTGGATTGTGTGGTGGACACATTGTAGTCTGGTGGGACATCAGTGACAACTACTGGAACTGCGGCTGGTTGTAATGTTGATGATGGTTGTAGGTGTTGTGTTGTTGATGTTGTAATGAGTGGTGTTCGAGTGGTGGTGGTCGATGTGGATTGTGTGGTGGACACATTGTAGTCTGGTGGGACATCAGTGACAACTACTGGAACTGCGGCTGGTTGTAATGTTGATGATGGTTGTAGGTGTTGTGTTGTTGATGTTGTAATGAGTGGTGTTCGAGTGGTGGTGGTCGATGTGGATTGTGTGGTGGACACATTGTAGTCTGGTGGGACATCAGTGACAACTACTGGAACTGCGGCTGGTTGTAATGTTGATGATGGTTGTAGGTGTTGTGTTGTTGATGTTGTAATGAGTGGTGTTCGAGTGGTGGTGGTCGATGTGGATTGTGTGGTGGACACATTGTAGTCTGGTGGGACATCAGTGACAACTACTGGAACTGCGGCTGGTTGTAATGTTGATGATGGTTGTAGGTGTTGTGTTGTTGATGTTGTAATGAGTGGTGTTCGAGTGGTGGTGGTCGATGTGGATTGTGTGGTGGACACATTGTAGTCTGGTGGGACATCAGTGACAACTACTGGAACTGCGGCTGGTTGTAATGTTGATGATGGTTGTAGGTGTTGTGTTGTTGATGTTGTAATGAGTGGTGTTCGAGTGGTGGTGGTCGATGTGGATTGTGTGGTGGACACATTGTAGTCTGGTGGGACATCAGTGACAACTACTGGAACTGCGGCTGGTTGTAATGTTGATGATGGTTGTAGGTGTTGTGTT